ACTTATCATAGAACCGCGGGTGATTAGGTTCATGGTAGGAAATAGTATAAAATTAAAATTTGTTGTGTTTATTTTTTTTTTTTTTTTTGTCTACGAATGTCAATAAAATTGTTTATATAATTTCAATAAATTGTTACAATAATAGTTATAAACCAGGAATAACGATTTTAATTATTTTGTTGTAGTTTATAGTATTAAAACAACTTACATGTTATAATAATTAATGACAATATAAAATATTCAGACTCACAAACCGTCTCCGTTCAGAATCGTTTTTCTTATACAATGATATTATATCATTAAATTCAAGTTTAATACAATCCATTAAACAATGACCAACTTGTAACCTACTGTACAGCTGAGCGACATCCACTTACCTGCCTTTTTTTTTTTTTTTTTTTTTAGGTATAATCGTATCTATAATTTAATATTAGGCTAATAACATAGAAAATATGTACAACTAGATAGCCGTCTTTATACTACAATTGTGACCAATATGTTGAAGTCGGCCGCCATTTATAAAGTAGGCAATGTTTGCATTTATTTTACATTTATTCACATACACATATACTGTGATAATATTATTTTGTAAAAATTGCCAGCTTTGTAAATCGCGGCCGAATTCGATGATAAGAAAGAGACAGCTATCTAGTAGTTGTTGTATATAATATTTTCTGTGGCTAATAATTGTATTGAAGCTTTGACAGACGGTACTAAAAAAATAAAAATAGAAATACACTATCATAGTCCGGGAAATCGGATGTGAATAAAAAATAATATTCTTTAAGGGTTTGTTTGCTTTTACTGAAAATCCCACGTTTGAGAAAACGGACTGTCCCTATAATAATATGTATAACTATTACTACAACACTGCGTAATCTGTAATTGTTTATGTTTTAGGGATGTTTAAACGCTATATTATAAATTATAATAGAGGTGAAAAAGGAGATGGCTGATATGTATATTATTATTATTATTATTATTATTACACGTTGCTTTGAGATAGGACCGTTTGAAATTTATATTGCTTCCGCCATCTCTTTGTTGTTTCTATGTCCACCGCGAATGTAGTTTGCGTAATTACTGTGTTTCACGTGTACATATGTATATTATAGGTAAGTAATCTAATCTATTATTCGAAATTGTGGCTTTCCAGTTAAAATACGAACTCAGTTAATACAAAACGACCTTCTAATATTAATCGGAAATGAAGAGAATATTATAATATTTAGTTCCATATTTGGTATTCCTGAAATCTGGGCCACGTGTATATAAAAATTGTATGGTTTGGTATTATATAGGTAATACTAAGTTTAATAACGATAGCACACCAACATTGGACATTTTTCAGTGATTTTTTGAAATGCAATTTTTTTTTAGAAATAATATTGATAACACTGCCTTAAAATTATTCTTAATGCGTCTAGGCGGGGCATTGACGCCATATAATAACTATAATAGTCTCTAACAATAAATCGTCTTCAAGCGTATAATACAGTGAAAAAAAACTAATTTTTATAATGAAAACATAAACACAATATAAGTATATCAATAATTTTATTAAGTGTCAATCCAAAAGTGGTGATTTATTATTTAATAAAATATTGATTAATAATTCTGAATAATATATTACGTAGGTAGGTATATAAAACAGAAAGAATTTTCCAAGCTGTCAATATTTAAATTAAATTGTGATCGGAATTACGCGTTTGCGTCAGAAATTAATACAAGAAAATGTTGTGTGAAATCATTAATGTACTTTTTAAATCCACTAGATCCGTGTTACTTACTAATATTGCAGTTTTTAAATTCCATACATTTTTATGCTTTTGATTTCACAAGAAATGATGTAAAAAATAAATAACAGTTTGTAACTTGTAAACTTTAATATATGAGTCAAGCGTCAATATATATAGTTATAAAAACTATATTGCATAAAACGGTGTGAGTTGTTTATTTAGTACCACAATAACTTACTATAGCGACATTCAAAAATATACAATTTTAAACTTAAAATCAATAATGTTGTTCGATTGACTGTAGAATAATGACCAACTACGTCGGAACATTAATTACATTACGTCACGTACTAGTACGAGCACTTGAACTAGTCGTTAAAAGCTGTTTTAGTTAGAATTAAGAGTGATTTTAATTTATTATATTTTATTAGAATTATTATTATTCGTTTTTCTTTAGGATATAAAGTATTTTAAAAGTATGGTTTATAATAATAATAATAATAATAATAATAATAATAATAATATAACAATAATAAAAACAATAATAGGAATAAAAATAATAATAATGTAAATTCACTAACAAACAAATTCCTATACGACTAAAATATAATACTCAAAAATACTTACTGGCTACTTAAAACTCCAATTAATGTACCCAGATTGCCTATACAACACGCCGTCTTATAGCTGGTAATATTATAATATTTTTATTCAATAAGTACCTATTTAAAAAAATTTAAAAGAAAAATAATAATTAATTTAATAGAAATCGATAAAAATAACAATAGAATAGATTAAGATATAACTTAAAATCAAATTGTTTATAAAATACCAACAAACTATATTATATATCATTGTATAATAGAAATGGTAAAGTTGTTATTATTTAACTAATACATTTTTTAATCGTAAAAATACCGGTCTTGTAAAACTATAATGAAATAATATTCTAATTGCATACTTTGTATAGCTTATGAATTAATATCCCTTCTAATATGATTGCTGTGTCGATCCATTTCCCCTTTTTATTCTTCACGCAGGGTTATATTCAGAATTTGGGCTCCGTGAAGCACTTAAAAATCAAACACACTAAAACTATGTTTAGGAAGCAGTGAGGCACCATATATTGTATATATAGTTAAAAAATCTTGTAATAAAACATTCTAGAACATTTTCAATAGTAGATTGCTAAACGGCGATGACGAACTCTATATAGAACGAAACTAATGGTATTAAACAACGAGAGGATGAATAACGTTTTATCCAAACGTAAAAACGTTCGTTTAATCATTTTGACGTTTTTATTATTGAGTTCTAAAAACAACATTTTCGGTTATTACAATGGCATTTTAACATTTTAAATACAAAATAACTTTTACTAATTTTTTATTGATCGTGCAACTAATATTGATAGAGGTACCTATTAAAATCTTACATTTAGTATAATGTGTAAATTTGTAGTTTTGTTTGTTTTTAGAAGAATATATAGTAGCGTAATATGATTAATGTTAAAAAGCGTTGCGGTTAGGTTAGGTTAGGTTAAGTTTTGCTAATTTAACAAAATTATTTTTGAACTAATTTTGCATTAACATGGAATTCTATACTTTCAAATATTTTTGTTACTTAGTAAGCTTATTTTAAAAACTTATTGAAACATAATTTTTATAAATTCGTGGAAATCATTCATGTATACTGTATATTATATTCTCTGTTTCTTCGTAATTATACTACGCATTATAATATTATTTTATATATATTATATTGGCTTGCATTAGATACATCGTTGTCAATAAAATATTTTTGTTTGCCTCACCTTAAAGCCAACTGAAAACAATTTTGATTCTAGACTATCTACTTGACCCACTTCGTTGGTCCAAAATACCCATCATTAGAAAGTTCACAATCTTGTAGACAATGCAATTATTTTACCAACCAGATTTAACGGATTTAAAAACTGTCTATCGTTTAGCTTATTGAAATATTTGGAAGATCCGAAAGATTTTTATTCTAGCGATCCAGAAAATCGATAAATCATCAAAGGTTTCCAAAGTAAGAATCACACTAAAAATACATATTATCATGTTCCCGAAATGCACTGGATGAATTACTTTATTAACCCCCCTTGCAATGACACCTTAATTTAATTTAGCTCTTTGACGAATAAACGACAAATCAAACATGTCTAATAGTGCTATAGGTGAGAAAACTACTGGATTCTACAATAATGTATGGGTATTTATCTTGTCAACCTACAATATAATAATATGGTTACGATCGTATTGTCTAGCGGTCTGTAACGGTCTGTTTACTTGCCACGTATCGTCTACTATTGTCAAATTAATCAAAAATAATATTAATTAAACTTGACGACAAGAAAAAAATAATATGTAGAACACTTATGATAACTATCCGCTATACTCCGTAAACAGTTTTTTTTAAAAATCATATAACATAGTATAATAATATAACGTGATTCGTGTTTACATTAGTCGTGTTTTTAAGTAGTACGAGTGTGTCAAATGATAATACTACACTAACTATATTGATACGACATAAGAACAACCACTGATAACGACATAAGAATCGAGGATCAGCACCGCAAAGCATAATAATGATAATGTTGAATTATTTAAAAAATAAATCTATGCACCTGTATATAGGTACACTGTAATATTATGCATAAGTCGAAAACCAAAATAAAGTTGTGCCATGATTAAGTAAAATACACAAACTGCTATAGATAAGCCGCTGACGGAAATGGATTCATCCAGTGCGGGTGCACACCGCGATGGGGAGAGGAGAGGGGGTTAAGGGTTCATAACCTCTAAAAATGTCTTCCTTCATGTAAATTGTGAATGTGTTTCTACAAAATGCACCTCTCCTCCGTAATTTCGGGTAAATATATTATTAGCACAACCCCATCTGAAAAAAATCCTGCACTTGCTATTGGATTCAACTATAATATTATGTTTCTTATTGAAGTGTAAGTTATAAAAACTAAAACAAAATATAATGGTTTTAAAAGAAAAGATCTATATTTTTTTTTTTAGAAATGATGTTTCGTAACGATTTGATTGGACCTAGAAACTGTCTAGAACAACCATAAAAACTTGCTACCAGTGGCAACTGCTCCCGGCTTTATCCTCCCAGATATTATATATTAATACCGATTCCGTGACCGGCGCTGCAACTTCGCAGTGTTACCTAACCTAACCCACGGTCACAAAAAAATATAATTTGATATTATATCATAGCTCTCACCCAGCCACGTGAGCCACTTCATCATGTCCTCCGGTATGGCAGTCGCAGGCAAAAATGGTGTGATCAGGTAGACGATGAAGAACAGCAGCCAGCAGGCGATGAATCCGCCCACGACGATGGACAGCGTCTGCGCCGTTTTGTTCTCGCGCTTCAGCGAAACCCGGCAATCGTCACCTCTGCGCAAACTGACATTATAGCTACAGTTGTAGGATTAAATTAACGATATTATTATGCAACAATATTATACAGGATAATATTAAAATAAATTGTAACAATGCGGTTATAATAATATGATATTGAAATGGACAAAAGCTGACGTCCGTCAATGACGTTTTAAATTTACCTGACGCGCACGATTTCATCCATTTCCACTGACGGTCTTTCCATCGATTCGTGACTGTAACGGGATATCTGAAAAATCAACGAAAATCAGTCTCGCACTTATTTATCAAAATGAACTTCTGTATAGGTATCGCCTAACGATTACAGTAGGGATCTGGTATATATACAAACACAACACCTATAATATTATAATATGAAATAAAAGTTTGACATACATATAAGTCGTCATGTAATCATTTTTCCAGTAAATCATAATATTATTATTATTATGACATTATTATTTTAATTTTGCGACTGTATAATAATAATAATAATATATTTAGCTAATATTTTATTTGGTACACACTACACAGTAATATTAAACTGACAATAAATCTAATAACGTTTCTACTATAAGCATGCATATTGCAAACACAAATTTTTTTCTTGTAAGTTTGTGTCAACCATCTATAATTTAGTGTTCGATAATCACAGTGAGTATGTTATAAAGCAATGGAAAACAAATTAATTAAAAACTTCCGAGCTTCTGTTATTGGAGCAATCTATTTTTTCCCGAGATGAAAATCACACAAAATAGTTACGTTTTGCGTCAAAATTGCATTGTAAGAGTTTGTCAGATGTCTATGCATTGCATTTTGTTATCTTCGTCTTACACACGAATAACGAAACAAAAATACCATCACTGCGTTTTCCGTGAATTCATTAATAATGTCTTAAGTGATTTCTGGGTTAAAAACTTAAACAAATAACGTAATAATATATTTGATAGGACGTCATTTTTGTGGCTTTAAAGTATGTGTGGCATCGGCCTAATACAATAATACTTTGTTAACATATAATAATAATAATAAAAAAGTTTCAAATGTACAGAATAAATTATTAAGAAAAATTGGTTTTTATACTTTCAAACACAAAACTGGCGTGCTTATACATAGAAAATAAAGTAGGTGAAATGCACTAAAAATCAGAGATCAAAAGATTAGGCAGCGATAAACGTATTTTAATGATCGATCAAAGAACTGAAGGAACCTAATTTAATTACCTTTAATATTAAGAACTATAGAACAAATATAACATAATATTATAAATTATAATATGGTGTAGAATATAATACTATGTCACGCTTAGGGCCGCATTAAACTAGGTGCAAATGGAGCATTTGCCTCAGGTGGCAAAATTTGAGGGGTGGCAAAATTTGCACTACCAGTTTAATAAATAATAAATTACAATATGTTAAAAACTTAAAATATTTTTTTACTATGGACATTTTTAAAAATAATTTGAAAATGATGCTAAATTGTTTTTATATTTTATTTTTATTTCTCAATTCTGAATTCTACTTATAATGGAATCAAATGTAAATAATTGTCTTTATAATAATTATTGTCATTCGTCGACTATCCTAATTCTTAAAATAAGTATTGAAAATTGGAATCGAATATCTTACGGAAGATAAGATAATAACACATACATAAGAACGGAATTGCATGTTGACGTTAAGTAACGTATTATCGATTTCGATTACAATAATTCATTAGTTTGGAATTTTCATTTTTATTATCTATGTGGAGTCCAATTTTAAAACGTTTTGATGCTACGTCAAAGACATTACAGTCAGAAAATATTGATTTATCAATAGTTATTTCTCTATATCGTTCATTGAAAGATTATATTGAAAATAATATGAGAAGTTCATTTCACACATTTTTAGAAGAGGCTCAAATTCGATGTGGCAGTGAATTATTTTCATGGGAAACATCCAGAATCAAAAAAAAAATCAACGTTTCATATCGATGATTTGAGCTCAGATTAAATTAATTTCACCGGAAATGAAAAAATGAAAATGAAAACTTTTTTGGTGATAATTGACACAATTGTTTTTCAGTTAAATAAAAGAATGAAAGTTTATTTTGAAATCAATAATATATTTGGATTATTAAACTTAGAAAATGAGACATTGGAAAGTATTCGAATACAAGGTAAAACACATTACATTAGGAATAACTTAAGAAACTAAAAATGTTAAAAGGCAAGTTTAAAATGTTCTGATGACTTGTTGTTTTACTTATTTCGAGTATATAAATAATTTCATGTTAAAAGTGATTCAAACTATCAAACGCGACTATTCCAAACAAGTAAGCGGTACCAGCAGTTATCATTTTCATCAAAATTATGAAATTATTATGAACGAATATCATAATTTATCATATTGTTATAAATTGTAATAATATATTATGGTCTTTTCCGGTATAGAGTTCTCTCATTAAATGATTAACTAATGCATCAGTTGTAACAAAGTTAATAATAATATTATCACAACATTTATAAACGTTTGAAGTCGTTATTTTCATCAACTCGTTTTCAGTTAAAATATCGTACCGTGCTGGAATCGTTGACTTCGCACTAATAATTACCGGAGACATAATATTAAATATAATATATTTTGTTAGGTACATAATGTGAGGACTTCGAGGCAAATATACGTACTGTATACCGTTTTCCGGTTTCCGGAATGTCGTTGAATCGCAGATGGCGGTTATGAATTATCACGCCGTTCCTTCTGAATAAGCTTACATGCCAAACAGCTCTGTAGCTGTTAGCTGTGAAGTCATTTGCAATTATTATTGTCATTGGACCCTGACCAAAAGTCGTTAAGATATTTGTTAAAACACGTTGGCGTTGGCTTTCCCATACACGAAACGAAAAAGTTTTCCGTTTTTTAAAAAATCAGGGTCGGACTTGGAAAAAAAATTGTCCCCGGGGAGACAGACAATTTACCCCAATTTCGGGCTAATAATAAAACATTTATAAGTTATCGGTCCAAATTTATTCAAGCAGCCCAAATTTTTGCCAGGCCCGTCAGTCCTCCCCTGCAGAACAGTGAATAGGTACCTACGTGTCTAAAAAGACACTAAATAAAAAATCAATAGGTAGTACATTGTTTATGGAAACAAATGTGTTTCGATTGTTTTATGTAGATTATAGCTTGAAACTAAATACAAGAAAACTCATAAAATTAATCGAAAACTAGTATAAATGAATAATATTGTTTTAAATATCTATACTTATACGAATTTCAAAGTTGTTGCACGCATTGGCGACATTTTAAACACCTAATCGTCGACGTGGAAGTAACTCCAAAGCTGACAATAACGTATATAATACATTATTACAATAGTTTACCTTTATGTGTGCTTCAAATATTTGTATAATATAATATCGTCACACGATATCCATATGCAAAATTGAAGAGTTTAAGACTTTGTCTCCATGCGATAGCACCGTTGTTAAGTCCCTCGCTAACGGCAATTTATACATCAACCAACTATATTTAGAGTTTTTAAAAGTAAACAAATTGGTTATGAAGTAATAAGCCATAATTGTGTATTTGTGTTATTATAATTAAACGATATCAGGCATAATGTATGACTTATATGGAATCTCGCCTAAGACCTCTACTATAATAGTTCAGTCGGGGACTTGAAAACACATTATTATGCAAAATAAATAAATGATAGATCTCATAACACGAACTCCAACCAACTCTTTGATAATATTACAAACTCCCCATAGTTTCGTCGTGGGTTGTATACGAGGCGTGTTATCAACAACGGCTGTGATCGTTGGAAACGTTAAGACCGTAAATTACCTTAAACAACGTAGGTACCTATATACTTGGACTCGAGAGAATCGTGGTTTATCCTGCTCAAAAGTTGAACACTAAAGATAATGTATTTAATTAAAACGAAACGAGGATAGTCTTGTATCGTTTTATTTACCTATACAACTAAGACTATAAAAGAAATCCGACTATACCTATTACCTACTTGTAAATTACTTTGATTTTACGGTCTTGTGCGTTACATAGTTAAAACTAATCGTAGGTATTGGTATATCTGATATCACGTCCAGAAACGAAATGTGATGCCATCGAAACAATAAATACATGACGCACATAATATTGTTATATAACTTGTTCGCCAATAGCCATAGGCGTAAAAATATTTGAGTTTAAACTGATACAAAAGAAAGTAAAAAAAAAAATCCATAAAATATTTTATTGAGATGTTAATGTTGATTTTGGTAGAAAATGATATAGAGAAAACTAGCAAAGCACGATTTCGGATATACACTATTATTTATTACGAAATAATATAATTAATTATAAATAATTATATTTTCGTTACACAGCCGAATTATGTATTATATTATAATATAATAATTATTATTACTATATTTTATTATAATATTATAATAGGAACAAAATATTTAAGTAAAAATCAGTATAAAAAAAATTATATATGCCTATATCAATATATATAAACATATACAGAGTGACTAAAAAAAAGGTACATTGGATGATGGATATACTTAAGGGTATCATTGGAGAATAAAAAAAAATGTTTTGTTTCGATTTTTGAATGTGTCAATTTTTACGAATTTTGATTTTTTTACCAGATGATAATAACGAAAAATGAATAATACCATACGCACAATACGTACGTTAAGTTCTAACCTTAAATCATGTTAATGGTTTTTAATTTTTTTTTTAATTTAGAGGCTTAAAATTAACGTTGATCGGTTCCATGGTACTAAAAATATAAAAAAAAAACCGCTTGACACCTCATTTTAGGATGCAATTTTTACTTATTAGTGCAGGTATTACTACTCAATTCTTGTTTTTCAGCTATCTTATTAGAACTTTTGTATGATCCATATTCAACTATGATTATATTGATATCTGTTCATGTTTATTTTCGTTTGTTTCATCCGTTTTTTTCAAACGAATTTCAGAATTTATTGTTCAATAGAAGAGTGCATTAATATTATAGTAAAGATCAATATTTTTTCTTTTCGTTAAAAATAAATAAAATAAAATAAAAATATATTATTTTATATTTCTATAATATGTATGTATACACATATAGATACTAACCCGGTAAAGCCGGGGAACGCTAGAAGATAATATATTAATATAATACAACATAAATGGACCTCAAAAGCTTGTATAATGCGCTCACAAACACACACAGACACACACATATACACTTATATTTACGCAATTCATT